TTTGAAGCAACACTGCTAAAATTGTATGCTCATCAATAATTACAAATATTTGCATGTTAATTAGAGCTTAATAAACTAATTTAATCATGTTTCCTACAAATTTTATCAATTTATACAAGCTTTTTGTAAGTCATTTCAATGTAATTAAAATTAATATGAGTCATATTAAGAGTAATATTTAAGTCAAGTAATATTTAAGTCAACTTAAAAATGTAAGGCGACCACTAATTCTTTACAGTGACACCATTGGTTTTAGATTTAAACATCCAGCATGTTCCCCAAATTATTGGCTTTTGGTTGAACTTCGGATCTAAAAAATATGAGGGTGAATTACAAACTTATTCTGAAACATTAAAACATCAGAAATCAACTGGACAAAAAAAAAAGTTCATATGACTGAATAAATAGAAGCAAACAAACCTGCAATTTTTAAAATGTAGAAATACATAGAATGATTCAAATGAACGCATGACTCACAATGAGTTGTAGCCTGTCAGGTTGAAGATGTCTGTCTGTCCTCCTCTATGGTCTGCTGATGGCGACGATGATGAATGAATCAGAGTCTGAGACTGGACTCAAACATGTAGACGATCACGGAGGCATTAACTGTGCGCTCCTCGTTCTCTGATTGGCTGAGTGGATGAACCTGCGTCTCGGACATCAGAATATCGCTCTAATCCATCAACAGGATTAAGACGGTCTATGGGTTGGACATACGTGTTTAGGCGCAGGGGTCACTGTATCCCTCCATGAGCTCAGAGATGGTGGTTAGGTAACCCTCCAGTGGACCAGCCGTCAGATCATGTGTTGACATTTAACCACAGAACGTCTTTGAGGAAAGTCCTGACCGTTGAAGTCAAACACAGGGAGGTGCAGAAGACTGAAATGTTAAGCCATCTGAATTTTTTTCTAAAATGTGCTTTGTTCAGACTCCTGTGTGTAGATTCGGTTATTTCTCTTTTAATGGCACCAAACAGGTTCTTTTCTTTGACTTTAAAGTGTACAAACTGAACATAAACACACAAGCCTGGAAAACATGCTCGTTTTAGAAGGAAATGTCATGATTTTGCATATGAACTCTTCATATTTAGATGTTCACTATAGGTACAGTATAATGCAAAGGCTGGTGAAGCATAATTCATTTGTATCTTACAAGATTTCAAGTTCATATTTCATGGGCACAAATAAAATAAAAATAAAAACGATGGCATATTTTAATCTCACGACTCAGTTTTTTCCGTAAAAATTATTCTTTATTTCTCGCAATTGCTAGTTCATATCTTGCAGACCTCATCTAATAAATACATGCTTGACTCTAATAAGTACCAATGGCTTATGAATGAATATGTGTATCAAATGAATAAGTACTAGTATATATTTAGTTAGTACTATTCTCTAAAAAAGACAAACTGTTATGTAATAAATTAGTACTGATAAATATTAGAATCTACACTGTAAAGCCCAATAGGTTAAGGTAACTCAAACCATTTGAAGAAACTGCAACAAACCATTTAAATTCAAACCCTTATTCTAATGGGTACAGTGCCCTTACTCTGTTGAGTAAATTAAGCAATTTGAGCACAGTTAAACTCAATAAATGAAGAGAACTCAAACCAACTCAGTGCTGTAAAACTCAACAAGTTAAGGCAACTCAAACCGTTTGAGGAAACTGATTGCTACAAAATATTTAAGTTAAAAACTAATTTGTATGAGTACTGTGAACTTACTCCATTTAAGCTGAAGTAATGAGGTATTTCATTAACTCATTACCTTCAACACTGAGTTCAAAACTCTTTCCAAATGAGTAGAATTAACTTTCAGTAATTTTTGAGTTAACTACAATCATTTCATTTGAAAAAGTTGACTGTTTGGTTTTACATTGTATGAATAAGTACTGTAAGAGTTGAAATATTACAAATATTTTGATATCTTTGACAATTCAAAACATGAGCTGAAAACAGAGACTGGTGACTTAACAACCCAGCAGGTGGGAATGCGGGAAAAACTAGTTCCTGCTGCATTTGCATCTGAGTCTGCTGAAACTCGGCTTCATCCACCCCATCTCACATATGGTCATTTCAATGTTTGAATGTTCTAGATTAACCAAACTGACTTTAACTATCATGTTTGATATCATTTGAAATGTCTCAGTGCGATTGGTACAATGGTCTCATTCTCTCAGAAACAGACATAATCAAAACAATAAATATATAACTTCAGGCATCATTTGAACCACTGTGAAGGGTGTGACTTTGTCACTAAGTGTGAATGCCTTTTGTTATTCACACCCCCTTCCTTGAGGGAATTCTTGGATTATTTAAGGTAAGGTTTGAGAAAGTCTCAGGGCGATTCTGCCTAACCAGATCAGCCCATAACATGGCTTGCTCCATGTTATGTATAATTCAAAGTCAGGTATGCATCTTTTTCATCTTGGATTTATCTTTGATAATTTGATGTTTTGTATTGATCATTTATGAATTGACTGATTGAATTTGGCATAATACATTTACCTGACTAATAAATTGTTATGTTTTGAATTATTCAAACAGAGTTCGTGTTATTATCTTTAGTAGATTGTGGTAATTTCATAGCACCACAAGCCCCTGTTCAGGTTAGTAGCGGACTAGGACACGGTAGACGGAACATTGCGGCACGCTATACGATGTCTCTAGTCTCCGACTAACAAACTGGCATTTATTCATGTATACTTAGGCTGTAAAAGGATATCTAAGGGGATAGTCCTTCACCCGATAAACTTATAATACTATTTAGATAGTATAGTGATTATTTAAAGTTACTAATAGTTTAAGTACGACTGGTCTGCTTAATTCTATAGTAATGATCGTTATATGACTAAATAGCTCTGTTTGATTTAGGAGGTAGCAGACCTATGGGGACTGCATAAAAAATATCCTAATCTGAGTAAGTAGGGTTCTGCCTTTTTAGGATAGCGGTCAATCGCCACTGTTTAATAACCAAGACTGACATGCTTGTGCTTAAGAAATTGTATACTCGGCCGGTACAAGATTCAGGATGTTATAGAGATCCCAATGAACGAGAATAACAAAAAATGATGAACCGAAGAGAATATTCAATCATAATCTAAATTAATGTGAACGGAAACAAAATAACCTTCTCAATGTTTTATAATTGGAGTCAGATAAAACGAGGATAAATATATTAATATTCTAAACCACCTCATACTAAAATTGGAGTCAGATATGAGCTAAGTTTAATATAAATTAACATTGTGCACTGGAAAGACCGAACATGCAGTGAACCTTCATCCACCAGTGGATACCGTCATTGGACCAACTGGCTGGACCCTACAGTACTATAACTTTTTTTCTTTAAAAAGATATACTGTAAGTAATCAGCACTAGCTAGTGAATAAGTATTGGTACTTACTGAAGAAATATGCAAGTATCTCTAAACAGGTAATTGTAGCATGAAATTGAAGGGCTTATAGAACGTTAAAACAGCTGGCCATATTAACTCCACTTGACAAGAATAGCACTGGTACCTAAAAAAGTATTGACTTACGCATTCAAATAAATCTACTGATATAAATGCCCAAATTTATTGGAGAAACAGAGACACGCGCACACATCTAAATTGTTATAAATGAATCCTAAACATTATTACAATAAATTATATATATTGTTTATTATTGTTGTATTCGTATTATTGTTATTATTATTATTATTATTATTATTATTATTTCATCACTAATTTGTTTTCACTCACGATCCTTCAGCTTAGTCCCGGATTTATCATGGGTTGCCACAGCGGAATGAACTGCCAATTACTGGCATATGTTTTTATGCTGCATATTACTTTCATATACGGTGTCCGAGAGAGCTTAGCGTGCAGCAATTTAAGAAAGCACATGCAATTACACAAAAACACCAGCAAATAAAGAAACGATCTTCATCAATTTGGTAGTACACGTGTTGCAAATTGGTCACAACACAAACAACTGAAGACACATGCGGCAAATCGGTCACAACACTAGCAAATGTCCACGTAATACAACGCAATTGTTTCAAGGGGACACAAAAACATGACGGACCCTGCTGAGATATGGATGTGTTGTGTCGTGTAATCAGGATATTAAAATAAATGAAAAACAACTCACCTTTCAAAGACCAACCAATCACTTCACTGAGCAACAGTCACGGCATAATAATATACCGTGTAAAATAATGCACTGGCCATCGTAGCCAAGAGAGCTTAACATGCTGAAATTTAAGAAAACACATGCAAAAACAAAAATGCTACCAAATTAAGAAAAGATCTTCATCCGTTTGACAGCACACGTGCTGCAAATCCATGCAATGCATACAACATAAAAAAACGCACTGCATTTTCACACAACACAAACAAATGAATAAACACTGCATTTTCTCACAATGTAAACGAATTACGAACGCGCTGCAAAAACAACGGAACACAACGGAAATGTGTCAAGGAGACCCAAAAACATGACGGATGCTGGTGTGCTGTGACTATTGCTCAGTGAAGTTGTAGGTGATCTTTGAAAGGTAAGTGTTTGTTTGTTTGTTTGTTTGTTAGTTTGTTTGTTTTAACATCCTGATTCTCTTGTCTTTTGTATATTATTAGCCTAAATAACCATAATCTAAATAGCCGAGCCCCTCATGTTTTAGGGTCTCCTTAAAACATTTCCGTTGTGTTCCATGCTATTTGAAAGTGTTGTGAGAAAATGCAGCACGTTTTTGTAAATTGTTTGCGTTGTGTAAAAATGCAGCACGTTTTTTAAAAAATGTATTTGCGTTGTGAGGATTTGCAGGATGTGTACTGTCAAACGAATGAAGATCTTTTTTCAATTTGCCTAAATTTTTTCAAATTTCAGCACGTTAAGCTCACTCAGCCACTGTAATTAAAATGAATTGAATTGAGAGAGAGAGAGAGAGAGAGAGAGAGAGAGAGAGAGAGAGAGAGAGCGAGAGCGAGAGAGAGACAGAGACATACGCTTGTTATTAAAAACAAAACATTTGTTGTTTATTTTCTGATGATAACATTTTATTTAAATATAATTATCATCTTATTCTCAGTTTTACAATCATTATAATATAGACTAAACACATGCTGGAGGAAATGTCAGAAATATGACAACACAAGGCAGTCATAAGTGTGAATGAGAATCAAAAAAATTAAAAATAAAAAAGTAATGAACCTCTTTCTCAGCAACTACAGCCATACTGTCTTTTTCCCGGTCCTCAAACAGTCATACAAGTAAGACTAACTCACTCATTCACTCAGACAACATTGTCCTACTTCATTCTGTTTACAATCATTCATTAAATTCACAGTCTTCAGTACGGGATTCACCTCTTTCTGTCATTCTGATACAAAAACAAATCACCGTCTAAAAGAGACGTTGGTCAAGTTGGATGATACTGATATAGGGTGACCAGAATCCTCGAAGTGGAATATCAGAATATTTGACATAGATTAGATTTTCTCCTTCTAAGTAATGAGTTTTTTTTTATACTAAATGTCTTTCCTGAGGAAAATATAATGTGTCACAAAACAAACACTTTAAAAACTTCCATGGTTAAAACATCAGCCCCATCTCACAAGGAAACACAACAATTTGAAGTATCAGAAAAGTGTCTAATTCATACAAATTCCTATGATTTCATTTGTATGAAAAAAATATCCTTTTAAATATTGTATGTTTTTATAAAAAATAAAACGTGTGTGTGGGGGGTTGGGGGTTGGATTAGCAAATCATTCTAAAATGTATGAATAAGATCGTACAAATAAATACAGCTACTAAATCAAGAAGTTATGAGTTGCCGTAAGATAGTATTGGAAACACTGATTTCAGGAAGTTGTACTGTACTGTATCACAGAGTATTTTCACATGAACGCCATTAATCTAATTATTTACCTTGTTCTGAACAAGACAATATTATGATTATGGTTGAGTTGCTTTTAGAAAAATCCTTCCGTGTGCTTGTTTCAAATGTTTTGTACATACAATGATAATTGGCTGTTAAAAAAACATTCCCATGTGACACTATGCAACGATTCCTTCAGAATTTCACATATTTACATACACTTCATCTTTGCTATGGTACCATATACATTTTTGACTGTTCTATTTTTCATTTTCCGAAAGCAATCAAGCGCAGTTAATTATTTGTTATGCAATGTGTGTAAACCGATGATGGTGGATACAAGTTCTTGGGCTGTTGTCCAAAAATGGCACACTACTCGTTGAGATACTACATTTGAATTTGAATTTACTTCACAACCGCTCAAAAAGTATGTTCTATATAATAAGAATATTAACAGTATGAATCGGATTCAGAAGTACTACATTGCCGATTTTATCAGCTGATATGAGCCTATCGCCGAGGTGTCCATATTGGCGAATTTGCCACCGATCTGTCCCCGGTATGATTGTTTTTAAAAAACGTATTTCACAGAACAAGGCGAGGCAGTGGTGCAGTACGTAGTGCTGTCGCCTCACAGCAAGAAGGTCGCTGGGTTGAACCTCGGCTCAGTTGGCGTTTCTGTGTGGAGTTTGCATGTTCTCCCTGACTTAAAAAAGCAGATTTTAATTTAACAGCTGATTATGTGACACTGATCGTACGTGACAAAGGATTAACTTTGACATGACTGGCTTCTCTTACTTAAGAATTTTAGCATGACATAATACTAAAACTAGCACTCAGAAATGAAGAATGTGTTTAGAAAAGTGAAATACTGAACATTTGTCATTATAAGTAGAGACACTTAAAAAATTAAATACGACAGGATGTCTGGTCACCCTATGTACTGGTAAAACAGGTTGGCTCAGACCGCATTTGTTCTCAATACATCCAACAACATTTAAAGTGATCAGACAGTCGTGACTCTTGATAATGAGTTAAACTAAGCAAGTAATACTAGCTGCAAGCATTTATCTTCATCACTTTGTGCTTGTCATTATAATTGCTCTCTCCAGCGATCCCTGGATGATGAAATTCCCTGCTTTTGTGGAATGTGCTTGTATATTATTGTACCTGGATGTGATTCACAACAGCACCAAATACGCAGAGAAAAATATACAAAGATTTTTTTTTATATATATATTACAAGATGTACCATCCTTCTTTACTGGTCAGCAAATATCAATGCATATTAGTGGTTTAGAGACGGTATTTAGGGTGGAAGGGCTGATGACAGTCAGTTTGGAAGTCTACTGTTTGACGTGGAGTGAAACGTGTTCAGAAAAAGATGCTGCTCACATACAGGTGGATCCCTCAGGCAAACACTGCAGCTGCTTCTCAATGATACACCGCAGACACTTGTATCTATATAGGAAAAGAGAGAAATTATTAATGCTCTCTTTATGTGTAGTCAAAAAATAGGTCGCACTTTACAATAAGGTTTCATTAGTTAATGTGTTTACTAAAATTAATAATGAACAATATTAGAACTGCATTTATTAATCATAGTTCAACAACATTTACTAATGCGTTATTAAAATCCAAAGCTGTGCTTTTTAATGAGAACTAACGACTGACTTTATTTTCAGAAACTCAAATTAAAGTATACATCCATAATAAATGCATTGTTCTTTGTTTGTTTTTGTGAGTAAATACATTGTGAATAAACATTTAAACTTATAAACATATTTAACATATAAATATATTTAACATTAATAAAACATTATTATAAAGTTTTACCAAAAAATGGTTGTGATTATACAATTTTATTTTTAAAAATATATAAAATATATATTATACATTGTTACGTGCTTGTACACCTCTGCCTGACAAAAGTCTTGTTGTTGACCCAGTTGTAAGAGCAACAAATAACAACTTGACTTTAAGTAGATCATTTGGAAAAAAAAGTGGCAGAAGGTGGATTTTTCTGATGAACCATCTGCTGAACCGCATCCCAATCATCACAAATACTGCTGTAGACCTATTGGAACCCGCATTGACCCAAGATTTTCACAGAAATAAGTCAAGTTTGGTGAAGGAAAAATCATGGTTTGGGTTTACATTCAGTATGGGGGCGTGCAAGCGATCTGCCAAGTGGATGACAACATCAACAGTCTGAGGTGTCAAGACATTTGTGCTGCACATTACATTATAAACCACAGGAGAGGGCAAATTCTTCAGCAGGATAGCGCTCCTTCTCATACTTCATCCTCTACATCAACGTTACTGAAAGCATAGAAAATTAAGGTGCTCTAGGATTGGCCAGCCCAGTCACCAGAGATGAATATTATGGAGCATGTCTGGGGTAAGATGAGGGAGGAGGCATCGAAGATGAATCCAAGGAATCTTGATGAACTCTGCAAGAACGCTTTCTTTGCTATTCCAGATGACTTTATTAATAAGTTATTTGAGTCATTGCAGAGTTGTATGAATGCAGTCCTACAAGCTCATGGGAGTCATACACAATATTAATTATTTTTTCACTGCAGCATGACTTTATATCTATACTGTACATTATTTCTGTTAAGTGACAAGACTTTTGTCTAAGCAAAGTCAGACCTTACTGTCCTTATTAAATAATTCAAAATCAAGACATGACCATATTTTATTTTTGGTTAAAATAAGCCTTATCTAGAGGCCTTTGCCTTTCATTTATGCCACTTCTGATACCAAATGATCAACTAAAACTATTTGTTGTTCCTAAAACTTGAATAGGCAACAAGACTTTTGTCAGGTAGTCTATGACGTTTAGCAGTGGGTTGTATTTTTCTCTCTCTTTTACTGCTGCTTTGTCTAACTTACATTGGCTATCAATCATTGGAGAATCAGACTGAGCCGAGATTATGTAAACAGGATGAGCTCCAATCCTTCCGCCTCCATCCCTTTATGTTTCGTTCTGTCATTTTGTCATTTGATTAATATTGTTAGTGTCTTTTTCTGCCAGGTAAATGGTCTTATTGGAGTATAAAATCTATATCTGTGATTAAGAATTATACTGGACGGATGAGGGCGTTAGGTCAGATAGTAGATTGAGTTTCATATATATAATATTTAAATAAAAATTTAAAGGTCTTGAAATGAATGAAACCATAAAGAGAAATCTCTAAATTTCAATTAATAAAGAAGTTTGAAATCAAGTGGCCTTGTCAGAATTATAGTATAAATAACATAATCAGTCTATATCAGTGAGCATTCGATGACAAAAACTTTGACAACCTCTGATAGAGAGGTATACATCTGTGTATTTTAGATTTTCTAAAGCACACTACTGTGTCAATGTCACTGACATTAAAGGGATAGTTCACCTTAAAGTGAAAATTCTGTCATCAATTGCTAACCCTTTAACTTTCTTCTGTTGATCACAAAAGAAGATACCTGTAACCATTGACTTCCACAGTATTTGTTTTTCCTACAATGAAAATCAGTGGTTGAAAGATTTCAAAATATCCTATTTTGTTTTTTTTAACAGAAGGAACTCATGAAGTTTGAAAACCACTTGAGAGAGACGGGAGAGTAAACAGTGAGTCAATTTTCATTGTTTTTTTGTGTACTATCCCTTTAAGCGTTTCCTTTGTAATTATACATTTGCCCAGCAGATGTCTCCAGCATGTGCTGCTCTCATTATGCTCAGCAATCAGTTTCAGATTTAACAGTTTCAGACGCAATAATTTCTCTCATCTACACATGTTTAAATAAAAAAAGTAATTAAATCTTACCTGCTTTTCAGCTTTTGCACCTCTCTGTCTTCCTCTTCCTTTAGTTTAGTAATAAAACTCTGCAGGACGGGCATCTCAAATTTGATGTATTGTGCCACCTAGAGCAATGGGGAGCAACTGCAGTCAGTTTTGTCAACTTCCTCAAAGACAGCTTCAATGTCAATTCTGCTACATTTACAGACATACAAAGAATTGAAATTATGTTACTCTCAGACTCTGCGTGCATACAGATAACAAAAACACTAGAAGAAGGATGCAAATTACGTGTATGTCTACGTATGCTCAAAGACTACACTTAAAGGGATTTTGATATGCTAATGGAGTATTTGCTATGTTAAATCTTGCACACTAGCTACTTGTCTTTGCATCTACATGTTTGTTATTGTATTTTGCACTGTATGAAGTATATGTTTCCTGTATATGTTCTTAAAATGGATGGATGTCACTAAGCTTTTCACATGTGGCAATGAAAGTGATTGGATTTAATTCAAATACACAAATAAATACAAATGATTTGAGTCAAATTTAAGAGAAACACATGTAAAATATTAGAAAAAAACATACACAAACACAACTTATATACAAATAAGGGCAGATAGCAGGTAAAGCTCAAATAGGTGAGGAGTGCAGTGCAATAAGACTTTCAATTCAAGTTTATTTTTATAGCACTCAACATCAGAAAAGTTAGATTTATTGGTTACCATATCTTTACTAATAACTTAAACTAATTAACTAATTACTAGTAACTTAAACAGTAAAGTTATTATATATAAACATGATTAACCTGCAGTTACATAGTATATAGGTGATGTCTATATGTGTAGATGTTCACTGAAGTCTATTTGTGCATTAAGTGTATTTTGTTTGTGTGTGTGTGTGTGTGTGTGTGTGTGTGTGTGTGTGTGTGTGTGTGACTGTGACAATGAGACATTTGTATATGAATGCTATACTTTTGAATTTGTCAGCAGATCAGCTCTCCTTCACACACACACACTCACTTCATAAGGAATCTCCTCTCCTAGATCCTGCTCCATGAGGAAGATCCGGCAGACGTGTTCACATGGTCCCTGAAGGATTCGCACTACTAATGGATAATCGGTGCGCTTCAGCTGAACACGCTCTGAAACATACAATACATTTCCTACATTTACAACTAGACCTATTTAATGGCTGAAGAGAATGGTTGTCATTTGCTACATTTATAAATGCATACATGCACCCAAATAACCTGTTTGTAATTGGATCGGCAGTTTCTTCATTTATTCAATTCATTTAATTCATCCAATTCACCAATAGTGCATGCCTTTGGAATGTGGGGGAAACTGGTACATAAACCCATATGAACACAGGGAGAACATGCAAACTCCACACAGATATGCCAATAAGCCCAGTCAGGACTCGAGCCAGCGACCTTCTTGCTATGAGGCGACAGTGCTAACCCCTGAGCCACCGTACCACTATAAATGGTTTAATTAGATTCGAAAACAGTGATGTGAACATCTCCCTCGATTATATTGATCTCGATCAGAATTCAATTTCAATTAGATTGGAAGGGGTGGACTTAATCTGGGTGATCTAATCTAATCCACAACCAAGTAATGAGCTTGTAAATGCTTGAACACAACAACTTTCTCAGTCATATTCAGAAGACTCTGGGGAACATGCGCGGTGCAATGTTGACATGCATTAGCCTGTGCATATTTTAATGAAAGAATGATAAAATATGTTAATCAACTTTTGTATATTTTCGTCAGGCTGCCTAACAAATACATTTTTTTTTTAAATGCACGGTAACCTAAATAGACGTTAAAACTATCTCTTCACGTAATATAACTTAAATAAAATAAGAAATTACAGTAAAGAAATTAAACAAAGAAAACCTGAAAATAAATAATGAAATAACGCTAAAAGTGACAACAGACACCATGAGAAAAAATTAAGATAAATATGTATATACACATATGCATACAAAACATACACACGCATGTATCAGACTTTCGTTCACTTAAAGGTGCAGTAGGTGATTGTTTTCAGAAACATTTGTTGTTGTGCTGGTTGAAAGTCTCTTCACAGTCTAATAGTAATGATTAAAGTAAATGATCCAAATGTATTTATATGTATTTTGATATTTAGAGTAAGTAAAAAATGTTCATCCAATTAAATAAAGTCGGGCCGACATCTCTCATAATTCCGATAAGTAGCTCAAACTGTCTTTCAGCAAATGCAGATTTGAACAACTGCACAGCAGTTTGTACGCAGCTCTGCCGACCGCTGTTTGTGCATTAACATGCTGCACGTTCACAACAGAGAGAGCACACTTGGGCACATGCGCGATTGGCAAAAACATGGTGAATCAATAACTTTTTAAAAACCTGAATCAATATTGGAGTTACCTTTGCATGCTGGAGAAAGGATAACACCATGGCTAAAGGATTTCTCTTAGACAGGTAATGCTTTGTTTTAAAACTATTTTAGCTTCACGTAAAGCTGATGTCACGTTAGATGTTGTTCTTACAAATTGGTTATATCTTCACAGAAGTGTTGTTCAGCCACTAAAATCTTCCGGTGAAATATTGATAAAACTATTTTCAGTTTCATAAGGGACCTTTCACAGCATCGATAATGTAGATTTTAATTAGTTTAACAACAAAACACAAGTAAATACCGCTATTCTGCCTAGACTTTCCCTATATTTTTGGCCATGCAACTCTAAATATTCGCTCTGAAATAGCATGTCAGTTTGGCTTAGTAATGAGTGTAATTCCTGTACGCCGCCAAACAAGCACTAGTCTCTTTTAACACACAAAAGAAGGTTCGTTTGCTGTCATCTTTAAGGTGCGCATGCTCCAGTTTCAGGAGGCGTGGCTCTGGACGGCAGGGGAGGGACTATGATTTAGAGATTTATGCTAAGCTGTTAGCATTGTAGAAGATCACCTACTGCACCTTTAACTAAATTTAACAAAAGGCAAATCAAGTCTCGTCCCTTTATTAATCCGGGATCACCACAGTTGAATAAACCGCCAACTAACTCAGCATATGTTTTAAGCAGCAGATGCCCTTCCAGCTGCAACCCATTACTGGGAAACATCCATACACACTCACACATATACACTGCGGACAATTTTAGCTTACCCAATTCCCCTGTACCACATATCTTTGGACATATATAGGAAACCCACGCGAACACAGAGAGAACATGCAAACTCCACACAGAAATGCTAACTGGCCCAGCTGGGGCTCGAAACAGAGACCGTCTTGCTGTGAGGCAATTGTGCTACCCACTGCACCACTGTGTTGTCCAAATCAAGTAAATGTTACTTTGCATAAAGGAATGGACTTTCTAAATTAAAACTAGTTTAGTTACTAATTTAGTTAAGTCAAAAAAAAAACTAAAACAATGCATTTTTAAATTTACATTAAAGCTTATCTTTCTTAAACACAAAAGTTAATCGGAATGTATATAAAACACACATAAACAGATATTTGAATCAGATCACAATGTTTAGATTTAGTCAATGTAAACAGATGGAAGTGCAGTCGGATTCAATTAATTTTGATTGACAAAAATTGGTGAATGTTCACACAGCCAATTACTTTAATGGTAATGTTTTTTGTTTCTTTGTTTTGAAAAATACTATGGAAGTTTCTCTTTATAAAGGTTTGAAACCACTGTATGAGTAAATAGTGAGTGAATTTGGATTTTGTTTTTGTTGAACAGTTATTATAACTATAGTGTCCACTAGATGGCGATTCAGTGTTTCACAGTCATTTAGAACTGAGGTTTTCAACCTTTTCTGATACCCGGTATTCTAAAAGTTTGGACAGGGTGGTGGAATTTTCTTCCCTTTCCAAAACCTAAACCCAAAAGGAGAAATGCCAGCGTGGATCAAGTTGTGTGAGGGGCGCTATAAGAGTGGGGTTAAGTTGGTTTTGTTGTTTCTGATTTTCCTGACACATTCTCCCAGCCAGCAATGACATGTGGGGCCCAAATGGGTTAACTACGGGTTCCATGGGAACTGTGTGGGCATGGGCTTTAGCTGGGTGAAATCAGCAGGTCCCATGTATGTTTTGTAGTATGAGTCCCACATAGGAAGCCCATATTAGCTGATTACATGGGCCACATAAGGGACAGGCATGGGCCAAGTGGGCATGGGTTTGATCTGGGAACACATATATGGGTCATGCATGGCATATTTATGGGCCAAGTGGGCATGGGTTTGAACTGGGAATGCATATATGAGTCCTGCGAGGCATTTTTATGGGCCAAGTGGGCATGAGCTTGAACTGGGAATGCATATATGGGTCCTGCATGGCATATTTATGGGCCAAGTGGGCATGGGTTAAACTGGGAATGCACATATGGGTCCTGCATGGCATATTTATGGGTCAAGTGGCATTGGGTTTGAACGGGGAATGCATATATGGGTCCTACCTGGCATATTTATGGGCAAAGTGGCATTGCTGCCCAGCCAGCAATGACATGTGGGGCCTAGATGAGGGCTTCATGGGCTGAAAATGTGGGCCCCATTATGGGCTTGCACCCTGGATTCACATTGGGGCCAGTCGTGGAAGCCCAGATGTACTAAAAGTGGGACCTGTAAGGGTACTGCATGGGTCCTAACTGGGCAATTCATGCCAAACACATTTGGATCCCATCTGCCCAAATGGATTTAAAGTGGGTTTGCACCCGGGATCCACATGGGGGCCAGCCATGGATGCCCATATAGATTTTAAGCAGGATCTGTGAGAGTCTTATGTGGGTCTTAACAGGGCAATTCAAGAAAGACCAATTTGGGCCCCACCTGCTTAAAGGGTTTAAAATGGGCTTGTACCCAGGATCTACATGGGGGCCACCCATGGATTCTGTCCCTGCCTGTCCCAGGTGGCTGGCTGCGTGGCGGGGTCGGCGGTTGCCATTCTCAGCCCGTTGGGGCCTGCCCTCTGCAGCTGTGGGGGGCTCTAGCGGGGGGCATTGTCTTCCACCATCTGGGTGGAAGCATGTCCATCTCTGTGGTGTGGTGGTAGGGGACATGTGCCCTGGGGTTGCTGCTGCTGGCCAGGGTACTGTGTTTCCTGGCCTTCCTCTGCCTTCCTGGGATACGTGTAGAGGTATTGAGTTACGACAGTCCTGTGTTTTTTTTAATTTTTTTATAGCCGTTATGCATTGATTAGTCATCATTTAGTATTAGTGTTCCTATAAGTTCAGGTTAGATATAATGTGTTGATGGTTATCATTTCAACCTGTATGTCCTGGCGAGTGACGCTAAGGAGCGATTAGTGAGCAATACGTGAGCCACTGCATCGCCTCCTCATCGTTTCGTAATGCTATATTTTATTGCATAACAGTTAGTCTGTCAGGCAAAAAAAAAAAGAGAAAACACGGTTTAATTGGTTATTATTAGAATATTTTTAAATTTCACCTCTCTTACTGCGCATGAACTAAGCTGTTGAATGGTCAGCATATCAGGCGGCTAGGCTAACCTTGCTTCAATTTTGATTACATTTTTTTCTAATCAGTTGCAGATTAAGTCGGGAATATACCACTGTAATGCATACTGCTGTTCTTTTAAGTCTGGCTTTCTCGCATTTCTCACCTGTTTGTCAAAAATGACTAGTTATACCCCTGGAAATGTCTGACACTGGCGCATACATAATGTAATAGACGTGCCATACACGAAAGCTTGATAGGCATAACAACAGTAAATAAAGAGTACAGGGCTTAGCGAAGGTTCAATTTACTCAAGTACACGCCTCAATTTCTCACGTCCCCCTTAATAGGCATTGGAGCCCCACAGGTTGAAAACCCCTAATTTAGAAGAAAACAAAACAGTTAGAGACAAACCTCCACTGGCATGAACCAGGTACAGGGCAAAGTCATCAGGACTGTTCTCGATCTTGAACTTGTTGAGCAGCACCCGCAGCACCTGTGGCGTGGTCATACAGCTGTTGATCCGCACGTTTGTGACTGAACCGTATGCAGGAGTGAACACAGCAGTCTAAAAAGAGGAAGAAGAGACTGCATGAAGAAGGAAGTTATGCTCAAACCATCACACATGGAGAACCAGTTTGTCGTCCTGTCACCTTGTGGTTGTAGAAGTGACCGTTGATGGAGAATCGGTGGCGTCTGATTCTCCGCTGGTCACTAGGAGACCGTCTCCGGCCCCGCCTCAATACGCCTGCATCGCTCTTAGTTCTGAGAAGCTGAGCGGAGACATCACACACTTCTGTCAGAGAAAAAAAAAGGGAAATGAGGAGGGAAATGAGTCACAGAACATTTGCGTGTTTAAAATCAGTTTAGTATTTTTGTTTGGGCCTGAAGGACTGTTATCTTTCAGAACAATTAAGTTTATATGCAAAAGTCTCTGAGCGCTGCCTGAAATTTTATGTTAATTTTCCTCAGGTTTTAGGTTGAATAGGTTGGTGTCATTGCCTATACACCTAAATAACTGAACATAAACATAAGGATTATTATTTATTTATTTGACTACAACAATATTGTATCTGATCAGCAACATTGTATTAATAAGGGAATGTCAACTGAACAGTAAAAGTTTGACATTTTTAATGAAGTGAATTTACTCATTTTTATACATTTACAAATGTCGATGTTCATTTGTATTGGATTAAATTGCTTAATGAAACGTTCTGACTTTTTTAAAACAATTTATATCATTTTAAAAAATCTATTTCAATTTCTAGCTCATTATGGCTCAAAAACAGTTCACATTTATGAAACAAACTATTTCTTTTTTAACAAATCAGCATAAATATGATCTTAAAAAGTTGTTTGATTTGAAGAGCTCATCTTTCAGACTTTAAAAAAGGTGATAACATTTTGTTGAGTGTTTCCCAAAACCGTAGCTGCTTTGTCGCAGATCCATCCATTGTTTGAACCACATTAGTTGTAACATAAAACGTCCATAAAACGCTCTAAACCAGGGGTCACCAATCTCGGTCCTGGAGGGCCAGTGCCCCTGCAGGGTTTAGCTCCAACTTGCCTCAACACACCAGCCTGGATGTTTCAAGTATACCAAGTAAGACCTTGATTAGCTGGTTCAGGTGTGTTTGATTAGGGTTGGAGCAAAAATCTGCTGGACACCAGCCCTCCAGGAATAAGTTTGGTGACCACTGCTCTGAACGGTGCGGAGTTACAACTTCTTTAGAGAAGAATCCCATGATTTTTTGTGCAAATTATATTGTTTTACACGCACACACAGTTTTCCAAATTAATTGAAATATATGTAAACGGCACATATAAGACCAATTTTTCCTTTACAAATATTACATATTCTATTCTAAAACATAAAACCACATAGCTAACATATTCTAATATCATATGGAAACTCATATATAAATCATATAAATCATATAAATCGTTAGGCTGATGGTTGCAAAATAGTAGGCCATTTATTAAAAAATGAAAAAAATACTACTTATTAATAATAGTTATTATTTTCATTAATTTATTAGGGGGTCAAGCGCGAAGCGCTGAAACCCTATTGTTTTTGTTAAGATTTTTATTATTATTAGGGGTTCGAGCGCAAAGCGCTGAAACCCTATTGTTTTTGTAAGGATTTTTATTATTATTATTATTATTATTATTATTATTATTTTACTTCTGCCATAATCACTATTGCCCAGGCCAAACCGTAAGGCCTATTGGCTTCAAACTTGGTCAGATGGTAGTACTCCTCACCGCTACTCAGATCCAAAGGCTCGTCAAAATCGGGCCATAGGTGGCGCTACAGCGCTAAAAACAAAAAAAATTTAGTAATTTGGCCGCCATTTCTAAACCGTTTGTCGTAGGCTCAAAAACTTTACATATTTGGAATGGTTGGGTCAGCACGAACAAAAGTGGAGTCTCCCAGATTTTCTCTACGACGCACCGTTTTTCCGCTACATCGCCATTTGTCCGAAACCTACTTTTGCGAACTCGTCCCAGGGTTTTTGCCCAATCTGAACCAAACCAGTGTAGAAATGTTCTCTAGACACTGAATAGCAAAAGTTATTGAAAGAAAGTTGAAATGTTGATTTCACGCGAAACCGTACACAAAAACGTAACATGCTAATGTAAGCTAAAAGCTAATTGTAGCTGTAACTTTTGAACGGATTGAGATATCTTCATAAAACTTGGTTCACACATGTATAAAGTCAATTTGAGGTCACAGTGCAAAACCCGCAAACTTTGGCCTCATGGTGGCGCTATAAAGCTTCAAAAACATAAAAATTACTCTAACCTCACAACCATTAGTTCAATCAGCTTGAAATTTGGCATGCAGTGTCTTTGTATAACGTGTCATGACATACTATAAGGACATTGGCATATCTTAAAAAACATGGCCGCCATTAGCCAATTAAGATTAAACAGCCATTAAACTAGGTTAACGATGAGTGATCGAAACGAAACTTGGTGGGCATGTTCGACTCATGGTCCTAGAGGTCTGTAAGAATTTTGAAAGAAATCCGCCACTAGGGGGCGATTTTGTGTTTTTTGAGGGTGTAATTGATTGGTTATTACACAAAGTTTTGCACAGCCACACAAACTACATATCATATGATAGGCCTGCTCATACCGAACAGTCTGACACTAAAACCACTGCTGTCACTCAATCTGTTCATTAAATTTTAATTAATAAATGAAAAACCTACTTTTGCGAACTAGTCCCTGGTTTTTTGCTCAATCACCACGAAACCAGTGTTGTATGAATCTCTGAACTGAGCAGATCAATAGTTATTGAAATGAGTTGAACTTTCCTCTTTTGGTAGCTATAAATGGCTCATTTACAAAAGGGGTGTGTCTTATATTGACCTAAATGCATGTAAATGCATAAGGAAAACTCAAAACTTCGTGAAATCAGGTTTGCACATCTGAGATGTGATTCATAACAAGCATGCAAAATTTTGTGAAGCTATGTCAATAGGTGGCGCTATAACAGTAGAAAAGGTCTCAAAAACACTGATTTCCATTGCTTTTTATTGCTATTTGACCATAATTTGTATAATATGTGTTTATTGTAGACAGCTTTTCACAAATATACTTGATATGACATATTATATGACAGGCCTGTATATTCTGATCACTTTGGCACAAAATCCACTGCTGTAACTATAACCATCAATTTATTATTCACCATTATTTTAAACAATACTTTTAGGAACTCGTCCCTGATTTTTTGCTCAAACTGAACAAAATCAGTGTTGTACAAATGTCTGGACTGTCTAAATCAGTAATTATGAAAAACAATTGAACTTTTGTGCATAAATGAGCTTGATATATTTATCTAAAGAGCAGAGTGTGTTCATATGCTTCCACGAAGGGTCTAAACATGCATTACTAATTTAAACCACTAGATGACAGCACAAGACCTCATAATGTTGGTTCAAAGTCACTAAAATTCCATTTAAGATCATTCTGAATCACATCTTGACATGGTATAAGCTCTGGTGTTGCATTTAAAAGATGATTTAGGCCCAGGTTACCACTTCATTCATGTAGGCTTTATATTTTTTCCATTTATTACATTCCATCATGGATTTCTTTTGGGTCAGCCTTAAATTTTGGGTTGTCCTAAATCTAAATTGCCTAAATGGCAATTAGGTTGCCAAATGCTCGAACCCCGTTAATCGCCGCTTGCGGCTATATTTAGGGGGTCAAGCGCGAAGCGCTGAAACCCTATTGTTTTTGTTAAGATTTTTATTATTATTATTATTATTATTATTATTATTATTCTGCCGAAGTCACTATTGCCCAGACCAAACCGTAAGGCCGAGAGAGCTGAAACTTGGCCAGATGGTAGTACCCCGGTACACTACGTTCTGGCCAAAGATCAGCCAAATCAGACCATAGGTGGCGCTATGACGCCAAAAAAACACTTTTTGGACATTTTTGGCCGCTATACGTTCACCGTTTGTCGAAGACTCAAAAACTTTACATTTTTTGAATCCTTGGGTTAACCTGAACAAAAGTGTATACCAAAAATTTTTGCTCTACGACGCACCGTTTTCCCGCTACATCGCGATTTGTCCGAAACCTACTTTTGCGAACTAGTCCTAGGTTTTACACTCAATCTAAACCAAACCAGCTCTCAAATGTTCTCTGGACACTGAATATCAATAATTATCAAAAAAAAGTTGACATTTTTATTCTCACGCGAAACAGTGCAAAACAATGTTCGATGCTAATTGAAGCTAAATGCTAATTGGAGCTATAACTTTTGAACGAAATGAGATATCATCACCAAACTTGGTACACACATGCATAAGCTCAATTTGAGGTGACACTGCAAAACCCGCAGACTTTGGCCACATGGTGGCGCTATAAAGCTAAAAAAACATAAAAATTACTCTAACCTTACAGCCGTTAGTCCGATCAGCTTGAAATTTGGCATGCAGTGTCTTTGACCAAGTTGTCATAACATACTATAAGGACATTGGCATATCTCAAAAAACATGGCCGCCATTGGCCAATTAAAATTGAGCAGCCATTTAACAAGGTTAACGATGAGTGATCAAAACGAAACTCGCTGGGTATGTTCGACTCATGGTCCTAGAGGTCTGTAAGAATTTTGAAAGAAATCGGCCACTAGGGGGCGATTTTACGTATTTTTAGTGTGTAATGGGTTGTGTATCACACAACCTTTTGCGCAACCACACAAAATACATATCATATGATAGGCCCGCTCATACCGAACAGTTTGACACTCAAACCACTGCTGTCACTTATACAGTTCGTTAAATATTCATCAATATAGGAAAAACCTACTTTTGCGAACTAGTCCCTGGTTTTTCACTCAATCGCGACGAAACCACTGTTGTTAGAATCTCTGGACTGTGTAGATCAATAATTATCAAAAAAAAGTTGAACTTTTCACTTTGGCTAGCTGTAACAGGCTAATTTACAAAAGGGGCTTGTCCACACGAACCTACATGCCTGTAAACCAATAAGGAAAGCCCAAAACATCACAGAAATTGGTGAGCACATGTGGCATATCAACGAGATGAAACTTGAAAAATTTTGTGAAGATCAAACCATAGGTGGCGCTATAATAGCAAAAATAGTCTTTAAATTATGCTAAATCGCTTAAAAATGCAGTAAATGTGCTTCATTTACACATTATTTCACAAAAAACACTCAATCTACATATCATATGACAGGTCTGCTCATACTGAACAGTTTGACACTAAAACCACTGCTGTTACTCAAACTGTTCATTAAAAAACCATCAATATAAACAAAACCTACTTTTGCGAACTAGTCCCTGGTTTTTAACTCAATCGCAACGAAACCAGTGTTGTATGAACCTCTGGACTGAGTAGATCAATAATTATCAAAAAAAAGTTGAACTTTCCATTTTAGATAGCTGTAACAGGCTCATTTACAAAAGGGGCGTGTCTACACGAACCTACATGCCTGTAAACCAATAAGGAAAACCGAAAACATCACAGAAATTGGTGAGCAGATGTGGCATATCAATGTGAATAAACTTGCAAAATTTTGTGGAGATTGGGCAATAGGTGGCGCTATAATAGTGGAAATGGTTCTAAAAACATGCTAAAATGGCTTAAAAATGCAGTAAATGTACTTCATTTACACACTTTTCACTGAAATGATTTATAAGTTATTTTTTTGTCCATCTTGGATGTTTAAAGGTCTCAAAAACACATATTTTCAATATTCTATCATTTTAGCCACTATAACACCGACTTTTAACTGTCACCTACCATTTCTAACCACTAGATGTCACAACAAGACCACTTATTTATTGTTCATAACATTTGCATACCTTTGCTGTTTTACATTTTTTGAGTTTAAAGTCAGGGAAATTGCATTTAGGATCATTCTGAATCATATTTTGACCTGATGCAAACACTGTTATGCATTAAACATCTAATTTGGTCCCAGTTAACCTCTTCATAATAATTCTAATAGGCAAAACTGGTTCTATGATTAAACACCTTGTTTTAAAACATATGTAAAGAAAATCACAACTGTGGCTTCTAGATGGCAGTAACAGACCACTTATTGTTTATTTTACTGCTCTATAGCAAAGAATGTAATGTAATGTTATGTAATGCATTCTGAATCCCAAACTGACATGGCATGAACACAGTTAATGCATTTAAGACCAAATTTAGTCAAAGCTTGTCACACTTTTTACTCTGTAGATTTTTAATTATTTTAATAAAATACAAATTTTTCATTTTATACAGTTAGAACATGCTCAGTCATAGAAGGGATATGTTTATGCACACCTAAATGGCTGTAATCACATAAATAAATTACACCGTGGCCACTAGATGGCAGTAGGGGATCACTAATAGCTAATTCACTGCTCTTTTGTCATTTTTATTAAGAAGAGCTAAAATAGCCATAACTCATGAATGAATAAAAATATCTTCACCAAACTTGTTACACATATGCAAGAGGTCAGTCTAAGCACATAGGATGAAACACATAGACATTGGCCACATGATGGCGCTATACATTGTAAAATCACTGTATCTGAGTAACCATTTATCTGATTAACTTAAAATTTGACATGCCGTGACTTTGTCTAAGGTGCCATGACTCGATCTACACATTATATCATAGGGCTGCTTATACTGGTCACTTTGACATAAAAGCGGTCACTCGAAATGTTCATAAGAAATTTGTCAAAATGTAAAAACTGATGTTTCATTTCTGGAGTGTTTAATCAAACGTTTGTTAGCTCAATCTATAAACTCTAACACTCTAATCGTATATTTCATTGTCAAATAAACTACTTACAGGCGTCCTAACTGCTATATGACCTTACCCTGCTAAACTGCTTGACCCCCGTTAATTGCTGCTTGCAGCTATATTTATTATTATTATTATTATTTTTCTGCCCTAGTTTTTATTGGGCAGACCAAACCGTAAGGCCTAGAGAGCTCAAACTTGGCCAGATGGTAGTACCCCGGTACACTACATCCTGGCCAAAGATCAGCCAATTTAGACCATAGGTGGCGCTATGGCGCCCAAAACCATCATTTTAGACATTTTTGGCCGCCATTCGTACACCGTTTGTCGTAGACTCAAAAACTTTACATTTTTAGAATGCTTGGGTTAGCCCGAACAAAAGTGCACACCAGGGTTTTTTGCTCTACGACGCACCGTTTTCCCGCTACATCGCGATTTGTCCGAAACCCACTTTTGCGAACTAGTCCTAGGTTTTTCACTCAATCTGAACCAAACCAGCTCTTAAATGTTTTCTGGATACTGAATGTCAATAATTATTGAAAAAAAGTTGATATTTTTATTCTCGCGCGAAACAATACGCAAAAATGTTCGATGCTAATTGAAGCTAAATGCTAATTGTAGTTATAACTTTTGAAAGGAATGAGATATCATCACCAAACTTGGTACACATATGTGTAAGGTCAATTTGAGGTCACAGTGCAAAACCCGCGGATTTTAGCCACATGGTGGCGCTATAAAGCCTAAAAAACATAAAAATCACTCTAACCTTACAACCTTTAGTCCAATCAGCTTGAAATTTGGCATGCAGTGTCTTTGGCCAAGCTGTCATAACATATTAAAAGGACATTGGCATATCTCAAAAAACATGGCCGCCATTAGCTAATTAAAATTGAGCAGCCATTAAACTAGGTTAACAATTAGTGATCGGAATGAAACTCACTGGGCATGTTCAACTCATGGTCCTAGAGGTCTGTAAGAATTTTGAAAGAAATCGACCACTAGGGGGCGATTTTGTGTTTTTTGAGGGTGTAATTGATTGGTTATTACACACAGTTTTGCGCAACCACACAATTTACATATCATATGATAGGCCTGCTCATCCTGAACAGTTTGACACTAAAACCACTGCTGTCACTCACATCGTTCGTTAAATATGCATCAATTAATGAAAAACCTACTTTTGCGAACTAGTCCCTTGTTTTTCACTCAATCGCAACGAAACCAGTGTTGTTAGAATCTCTGGACTATCTAGATCAATAATTATTAAAAAAAAGTTGAACTTTTCACTTCTGATAGCTGTAACAGGGTCATTTACAAAAGGGGCGTGTCTACATGAACCTACATGCCTGTAAACCAATAAGGAAAAACCAAAACATCACAGAAATTGATGAGCACATGTGGCATACCAATGTGAAGAAACATGCAAAATTTTGTGAAGATCGGGCAATAGGTGGCGCTATAATAGTGGAAATGGTCCTAAAAACATGCTAAATTGGCTTAAAAATGCAGTAAATGTGCTTCATTTACACGCTTTATCAATTTTAGTCTAAGCTTATCACTGAAATGATTTACATGTTAAACTTTTTGTCCATCTTGGATGTTTTAAAGGTCTCAAAAACACATATTTTCAATATTCTATCATTTTAGTCACTATAACAGACTTTTAACTGTTACCTACCATTTCTAACCACTAGATGTCACCACAAGACCACTTATTTATTGTTCATAACATTTGCATACCTTTGTTTTTTAAGTTTAAAGTCAGGGAAATTGCATTTAGGATCATTTTGAATCACACTTTGACATGATGTAAACAGTGTTGTGCATTAAAAATCTAATTTAGTCCCATTTAACCTCTTCATAATAATTCTAATTGGCAATACTGGTTCTATGATTAAACACCTTGTTTTAAAACATGTAAAGAAAATCACAACTGTGTCTACAAGATGGCAGTAACACACCACTGATAGTTTATAGTTTATTTTACTGCTCTGTAGAAAAGAATGTAAAGTAATTGGCCATAGCATGAAACTCGTAGACATTGGCCACATGGTGGCGCTATACATTGTAAATTCACAGGCTTCCTGACTGCTATATAACCTTACCCTGCTAAACTGCTTGACCCCCGTCAATCGCCGCTTGCGGCTATATTTATTATTGTTATTGGTATTAATATTAGAAGTACTATTATTATTATTATTATTATTATTATTATTATTAAGTAGGAGATTGTTTTTTTTATTTTTTAAATTCTACTTTTACAAGTTAACACATTCAAACCACTGCAGAAATGTTCTAACCAACAGGCCCATGTATCCTAAACAGTACAGATACATATCTTAATAAATAACCTACTATAAATTAAAAGCATTAGGCTAACCTATTCTATATATTTTTGTTTTCACAAGCTTTGGAGACATAAATTCCGCTTTTAAATATTAGGTCACTTATAGCTTTCATCATGAGCCATGGCAGCGTTCAAAATGGCATAAATGATTTGAAAATGCACTACAAAGGGGATCGCAAAAACTGAACTGTAAAAATAATTTGAGAGCGATGACTTTAATGACTTTTTTTAATCATTCTAAGTTTGAATGGGGAACGTTCAAAATGAATAGGGGGGATAGGGGTCAAAACAGGGAACAGAACACAACTAGGAACTATGCTTCTAACTACAGCTCTAAAGGTGTAGTTGCAAGTGTACAATTTTGCAATGCAGTTTGCGAATGTTCGTTGGAACAATAGATTAGGGAAGCACCAAATGAACAAACTATGTTTGTAACGACAGAACTTGCGACCTTAGTTGGCTAACGATGGTTTTCAGAAATGCACCCCTGGTTATCCATACATATAGATTTCACAAAAGTTAGTACTAAACATGTGTGAGACGTGATGAAAGGCAAAATATATTTGACACTTGATGAACTAATAACTCTAATAGTTATACAGAAATATTTTTTTGACACCTAATGTTGCGGCATACATTCCTGGGTCAATGACATAAACAAGAAATGTTCTAAAATGTAACAAAAAAATTAAATGGTTACATTTCTTAAAAGTAATTTTAAAGAAGAATAATGATACAATCAAATCCAGCACATGATATGATCCGATACATATGATATGATATATGATACGATACATGATATGAATAAAAGGCTATTTAGGATGTAGTAATTAGGAGCTATAATATTGTAATAATGTTTTATTTAATTATTATAATTATTAAAATAATAATAATTATTATTATTATTATTATTATTATTATTATTATTATTATTAAACCTCTGTAAAAGTGAAGCTGTACCTTCATCTTCTTCCTCATGGTCTTGTGTTGTGCCGTTGTTTGTTTGTTCTTCTGGAGGCGTCACTTCCATCTGAGGTGGAGTTTGTGGAGTCTGTTTCTGAGCCTCCTGACTGGAGAACATGACAGGAGGAAAACAGCCCCGTCATGTTATTCAGTGACAGACACAATCCACAGCCCAGCAAAACTTTCAAGACGATTTGCCAAAAACATGATATTCCTCTAAAAATGCCCCTTGCTTTAATCTAGCTCTCAACAACCTGTAAGAATTCCTGTTGCTTACATTGATGCTTTTTAAAGAAATGTTTTGTGCCCTTAAAGGCTGCGTTTATTTGATTAAAAATACAATGATATTTTTAAATAATACTCAAATGAGTCGCCAGTGCCTGTGAGATATTTGGCATGCTAAATATCTGGAGCTGTCGGCGATTCAAATCATGCCGTGTGAATTGAGTTTTGACTGAAAATAACATCATTGATCGCCTACAGCCAATGAGAGAGCAGCTTTCACTTGTGTGTGCGTGTGTGTATACCTGCTGCAGGCCTGCGGGAGGCAGGGGGAGAAGTTAACAGCGCTCTTTTTCGATTTATTTGGACCCACGAAATGGAGGAAAAACTAGTGGGGGTTTGACAGGACTCAGGAGCAACCGTGTCTGTTTGACGTTTCATACAGAAAGAAATTAGTTTATTATCAACGTTGAGGAGAAATGGCTGATTCCCTTTAAATCCAGGTGAGCAAACATGTACATGTTCTACCCCATTAAAGGCTTCTTTCTTATTATTTAGTTAATAACAAAAGATGTACTACGTGTTTTTGGCTGTGAGATATAAAAGTCATGCAATGTGAATGTCCATGTCGCCGAACCATCTTGCAGTGTAAACAAAGCAGCGACGAAACGCTAGCCCAGATAGTCATGCAGTGTGAAAACATCTGTGACACGACTAGTTTGAAAATCATGCAGTCTGAACTCTGCATTACGGAATAAATATATTTATATTTTTAAAAATACATATCTAATACAAATTTAAATAATCATTTTCTATTTGAATACATTTTAAACACATGATTTATTCCTCTAATGACAGCCTTTAGTGTCACATGATCTTCAGAGTCCTAATTTACTGCTTAAAAATATTTATTTATATAATATTTATGAATATTTTATAAACACTAAAAATCACTGCTTAATACTTTAGTGGAAAAAATAATGTAATACACATTTTTAGTGATTATTTTATAAATAAATAGCTTTTATAAAATATTTAAAAAACAAAATTATAAACGTCATTACTGACTATTTTAATCAATTTAATGCATTGTTATGGACTAAATGTATTTATTTCTATAAAAAAAAAATAATAATAATTTGAATGGTAGTGTATAGCAGTGGTTCCCAACCTTTTTTTTTTTTTACCTGAGACCCCCTTTTCCCTTCGGAAAATATTGAAAGGCCCCCCTCCACATTTAAAGATATTGTCGCTCATATACGTTTGCAGTAAGGATGACACAAAATGTCGTTTTCAAATAAACGCTTAGTTTATTACTATATTTAAATAGGTTTATGCACAAATAATAGGCTAATGTAAAATATAAAGGCAAAACATCAGTAGGGCATTTGTATTGGGTACACCTTGCGGTATTAGGGATGAGTTGGTTAAAAAAGTCTTATAAATTTGGACGGCCTCACACATTCGTTAGCAGGACTTTGTTGCAGATGATGCACTGTGGCTGGGCCAAAGACTCTTTGCTTCGAGAAAATAGAATAAAACCATAGTTCAGGTAACTATCTTGGTATTTCCTGCATTTCGTGTTTCCTGTATTGCTAGTGTTGCGACCTGAAATGCTTGGAGCGTCCTCACCTGGGTCCAGTATGCTTGGGTCAATTCTATTAGCTGATGAAGGCAATTGAGTGAGACTCTCTCTTTTTTTGTGGAGGATGAATTACAAATTTGTCAATTTTTTGGTCATTCATATGATAAAATGAACTAAGGCAACATGATCCTTCTCCTAATTGTCCAGTGCTAAATTTTCTTTTAATTTGAAGCGACCCCCCACAGAGCTCGCTGAGGTCCCCTGTTGGGAACCGCTGGTGTGGAAATGATTATTCAAGAATCAAGCAGCATTTCAATTTTGATATGAAGCTAAATATTTTTCTCTGTTGTAAGCCAAAACTCTGTTAAGTCATTTAGTTTTGATGCACTTGAGGGTAAGTCAATTTTAAGTTTTTATTTTTGGTTGAACTAAACCTTATCATAAAACCAAATGAGTGTAATGAGCACTCCAGTAGAGAAGATCCAATATTGTTTTGGGTTGAAGTTTTTAAAATCCATTCCAATCCTATAATCTTTGTAATAAACAAATGAGTGCATAATAGAAGCATCATCAAATGATTCTAGGAACTGCTACTTATAATAACAGACCCTGTGTTAAAAGACTCCAAATTATGCTAAAAAAAAGCTATATTTGTGTTGGAGCACTCAGATATTATTAGTTCTTTTGAACTCCTCATTTTGGACCCATGAGGCAAAAATGGACAAAAAGAGATCAAAAGCAGAAGACATTAGAAAAGTGTGCATTATTTATATCACACCGGTCCTGAAGATTTCAGCTGCTGGATATCAGTAGTACAGTCATCATCACAAGAGTCGCTATGGAAACAAACTCGAGAAACAAAGCAGGATCTCAGGCTGAAGTCACTTGAAGGTCACTTGAGTTTAAGGAGCAGCCTTAAAGAAGTAATCTTGCCTTCTATGGATTGTAGATTTATACTTAGATTTTGTTTGTACTGAGGTGATGATTTATGACACAAAATAATATACATATAGCAAAATAAGGAGCATTTCATTGCACATATACAATGGAAATCAGAATTATTAGCCCTCCTGTATATTTTTTCCCCCAATTTCCATTTAACGCAGAAAAGAACACATTTCTAAACGTAATAGTTTTAATAACTCATTTCTAATAACTGATTTATTTATCTTTGCCTTGATGATAGTACATAATATTATACTGGATATTTTTCAAGACACTATTCAGCTTAAATTGACATTTAAAATGCTTAACTAGTATAATTAGGCAAGTCACTGTATAACCAACACAATCTCAAGACAATTTGTAACTTTTTGATTTAGTAGCCAATTGGTATGAATTTGTATGATCTCTTTGATACAATTTAGTATGACTTTCTCATCCCCCAATAACAAGTTAGGGGTGTGGTTAGGTCTTTTTTAAAATCGCACATTTTCGTACGACTGTATTAATTTGTACGAATTAGCCACTAATCTGACACAACGTAAAAGACTTATATTTCCTTGTTCATACTGGTATAACAGTGGTTTGTTCTGTAGACAATCGAAAAAAAAAAAAAGAAAACGCTAAAGTGGACTAATAATACTTAAGAAATTTTTTTAACTGCTTTTATTTTAGCCAAAATAAAACAAGAAGAATAAGACTTTCTCCAGAGCAATAAAAAATTATAGGAAATACTGTGAAAAATGCATTGCTCTGTTTAATATTTGTATTAAATATTAGTTGATGTCAATAATAATTGTCAATTAAAGTATTTATTATTTGCCACTATCCTTATTTATTATTATTATTATTATTTTTTAGAAATGATCATTTATTTTTTTTTAAAATACAATAAAATGTTTCCTGATCTCTTCTACTCTTTTGTATGCATTTAGTAAGTATTATTATATAAACACCTTAAAGTAAATGACGGATCGTTTCACCAATATTCTTTTACACACCAATAGATCATAATATTGCTTCACATCAATATTGTTTCATTTTAAATAAATTTACCTGTTAACCTACATTACAAATTAATTTAACTATATTCTGACAATGAATAAAATAAATAAATAAATAAATAAATAAATAAATAAATAAATAAATAAATAAATCTCAATATTTACAGAAATATTAAGTAACACAAGATGTAAACACTGCTAATGATGAGAGTTGCTTAACAAAATTAGCAAACTAGACACTGAAGACTGGCATCATTAAGAAAACTAAGAACAGATATGTTGTTACGACTGAAGTTTATTTATTTGTTTATTATTGCGGATTGTACTCTTTTTCTTTTGTCCCGCCTCCTTGCTTTTTTTCTGTTGTCTTATAGGCTCCCACGCCGGCGTGATTCCCTGCTCTGATTGGCTGCTGGTCTCCGAGACCTGTATATAAGGGAGCTTCCAGCAGGGATCGGAGAGCTCATTTCTGCTGCGTTCGTTGTTTGGAGTGGAGCTCCTGGGTTTCCCTCACCCCTTCGGCCGACGATCAAACACCAACCACCTTTGTATTGATGACCATCCTATGCTTGAATATTTTTTGAGAGTTTGAGCGTGTAAGGGTGACCTGCCTATTTATTTGATTACTTTTGACTTTGTTTATGTTGGGGAGTAAGGTAAGATTCTTGTATTTTTTATTTAAATAGTAATAGGTAATTTAGTGGATTTATTTTATAGATTCTTTTGTTTGTTATTTTGGCCTGTGGTCACCCTAACGAAATGCTCATTTATATAAACCCTATTTCTCTATAATAAATATCTTCATATATACTCTCAATTGAGTGTGTGAGTTTGGTTGTCGACCGAAGGGAATCTTTTGCTTTAAGTTTTGTTTAGTTTGGGAAATCCACCACCCCAACACATTTGTTTTTTCTTCGTTTATTATGCCCTTTTTGTTTCCCCTAGACTTAGGGCGTAATATATGTAAAATTGCATGAATCATTTACAATATTATTGTTTTACTGTATTTTCAAACAAACAAATCCTGCCTTTACCAAGCATAATAAATTTAAAAAGACAAAAACCTTTTTAAAAAATCTCACAGACTGGACATTTTTGAACAGGACTGTATTGTATATTTACATATGAAAAAACCTTATTGTTCCAGTCAAAGCATAATAAAATACTCCAAACGCAAGATAAACCTTATTAGCATTGATAAACATATGCATAACAGAAGAAATATTGACTTCTAGAAGGTTAAAGAGCTCATTTAAATATGCTTGTTCACCATCTGACCTCTGGTTGTCTAGATTACAGCCCGAGTGCCAGGAGGTGGAGGAGGGAGGAGGCTTGATTCGCTCATGGTCATCCTGCATCTGAAGCCTGATTGGTCGACGCAAACCCCATGAGATATTAAGGAGTCCTTCCATGATCAGCTCCTCCTCTTCCTGCAGGCAAAAAACACAATATAAAGATAACTTATATCAAGTTATGTTGTCTGTGTTTTACTTATTATATTCCAGGGCTGTTCAATTAGTTTGTCATGGGGGCCGGTTCATGAAAAGCATCCCAAACGAAGGGCCGGAGAGATATGACTTGCTATATGAGTGATAACACAACTGCATATAAGAGCCCATTTGCTGTATTTTTCCTTAAGAGACCTACGTTGGCTTTTTCTACATTAAAATGCTAATATATTGTATTTTGAAACTACATAATGAGTGCATTGTACAATTGTGCATTGGCTTTTTTTTGTTTTTTACAAACATTCAAATGTTGTATTTCAGAGCACAACAAAAGCAGTGCATTGCTGAAGTAGGCTTTTTCTACATTCAGACACATTCATATGTTGTTTTTTGAACTGCGTAACAATTAGGGATGCAACAGTAATAGATCTTGGTTGTACGATTATATAGTGTGAAGAATAATCATGGTTTCACTGTTATCACGTCTAATGTAAATTCAAGCATTATATGAGGAAAGTAGCTATTTAGATTAACTGTTGATGCCATTTGCGTTCATGCATACAAAATCATTTTAATAATAAATCGTTTAACATATCTTTTGTTTACATTGCACTGAAAGGCACGCACAACTCTCACTGTGAGATGTTTTCTACTGTGTGCGCCCGGAAAGCTGCAAGCGTTTTGCTCCACTTGTGCGCGCATATTGTCATAAATTCTTACATTAGAATTAACAAACTTGCAAGCGGAAAAGACGTGATATGGGAACGGCCGCTGCTACAGTTAATCCGGTGTGCGTGTGTAGCTTCGGTGTACATACTTAGAACTTTAAATCTTTTTTTTTTTGTTTATTTGCAGCAGTTTTGTTTTGTTCAGTGCAACAGAAATGCGGCTTAGAGAAGCCTTTACAATTCATTAACTGTGACAAATTAAAGCGCAGTTAATAGGGAAATCGGCTAATTGTTGCATCCCTATTGACGATATCAATGCATAGTACAAAAGGTCTTTTCTACAAAAACATCCAAATGTTTTCGGCTGCCCGTACCACTCGCTTATGGTGACTCATGCTCTGCGCAGCCTCTGCAGCTCATGCTGTATTGAACAGACACACGTCACTTCATAACTATAGCGGCCGTTTTTCGACTGAACTAAATTTATTTTTGATGTCTTGGTCACACTATTTGGAGGGCCGGAACAAATTGCCTTGGTGGCCGGGTTCGGCCAATCGAATAGCCCTGTTAAACTCCTTAATTTAGATTCTTATTGATTTTTCTTGTTTTGTTAAGGTCACGGGTATAGTTGTATAAGCATTTCACTGCATTACGTGTATAGTGTTTATGACTGTATATGTGACAAATTTGATTTAAATTTGATTACTATTTTGTGCTCGTTCTTACATTTATGTATTTGGCAGACACTTTTTATGCAAACAACTTTGCATAATATTTAATTAGGAACTTATTTATTGACACTGCAAAAAATGCAGGGTTCCACACAATTCCTTCATGTTGTCCCAACACAAATCAATTACGTTAACCTCATTGTTTTTACAAATTTAAGTTGTCCCACGCAAAACTTAAGAATTGAGTTACATTAAAAAGTAGCTTGAACAAGAAGCAAACGTAACTTTTGGAGTGTAGTTCTTAGATCATTTGGAGAATTAATCCTATAAATGTGGAATTACTAGTGTCATTCTCTACTATTTGATCTTTGTTCTCCAGATGAGAAGTGACAATATTCAAAATTTTCCTACGCCCCATGAAGCTTTGTGTGAGTTATCAATACCGGAAATAATAAAATAATTAAAAAAAAATGATTACAAGGAGATGGCATTATTCTTCTCACATTTTATCTATCAAATATTAAAGGTCCCATGATGAATTAGATGTTAGTTTCAGTCTGTTAGTTTCAAAGATATCTTTTAGCTAGAGCTACAAAACTGAGACAAAATTTTCGTTTAGACAATATAAAACATTAAAAGCTTGTAGTTTTTCACTTCCGCCTAAATGGTTTGACAGATTTTCACGTCACCTCATACTTCTCTCCTCAAATCTTAACCAATTCATTGGTCTCTAGTATCCGACATGTCCTGCTCCCTTTTCATTTGATTTCCATTCAATGTGCTTGAGCTCAACCACTTTCACTGAAAGAACTTTGATAAAAACGAAATGCTATTGGCTGTTTTTTTAAAGTAAGGAGTTACTCTATGCCCCACCCTATCTTCATTTTCCAGTTAAGATTTTCTGCAGGTTAGGACTTTTTTAAGACCGTTAGGGCAAGATAAGAGCTAAATGCCAATGATTTTTTTGAATATCCCAGTTTGAAAAGATTTTTATTAGCCCTATCAAAAATGATTAAAAGTAAATACATTTAATAACACAATATTAATAATTTAGTTTGAATATTTTTTTATAAATTTTCTAATATATCCATTCACAAATCCTATAATCCTTACCAAGAATAGAACAAAACATAGCTGTAAATTACTTCAGTCTACAATAATAATAGTTTAATAATAAAATAAATATAGGTTAGGGCAGTATCCTCAGCAGTAAATAAATGCAGAATTTTTAAGCAAATATTACTGTAAAGAAAGTAATTCAATGCTTTTTTTTTTAAATAAAGTTTTATTGAGATTGAGTTTGTTGGTGATTGTATGGGTATTAATGGCCAGATTGGGTAGCTATACATGAACAAAGAAAAATTAAGACCTGTTAAAAAAAAAGATTTAAGAATCTTTTTAGCACACCAAGGATACTCTGATAATGTCAAACGTTGAATAAAAATCCACATTTCAAAGCACTTCATGGGACCTTTAAAAGAAAACTTAACAGAATACATAAATTGCATACAGCAGACAATGAATTACCCTGGAAATAAGTGAAATACTATGAAATAAACAAGAAATATTAGCAATATGGTAAAGTATTACTCTATTGTAAGAGAAAAACTATATTGAGGACCCACACATGAACTCAAAAGTGCCTCGTTTGTTTGTGATATTAATGTCATGTTAAAAAACCAAGCGCAAATTTTACAGCGCAGCCTTAATTATATGAAGTGATTTCTTTTTAATGGAAGTTCCCTAAACAAGAAGTGCAGCCCATAACTTGGCAATTTAGCAATCACGTGTGGAAAAAGGTGGATAAACAAGCTATAATTTTTCTTTTAGTATATGAGACCAATGAATGGTAAATACAGCCCATCTAAAACAGTCATTAATTTGGCTTGTCTAAAGCACCTGAGCAATGCATTTACAGACACAAAAGGAGACGCACATGGTCAACCCCCTCCAGCCTCAGACAGTTATTATTACTCCCCAGACAATAGTGAATAATTGAGGAAGCACAGAAGGGGTCAAACGCTTCTCCGCCTGCCGCACAACGAGGGTAAAGCTGGTTCTTACCTCTCGGTGTCGTAGCTGCAGGTTCTTTCCTTCATAGTACAGATTGTAGGTCTTTAAATGAGAGAGAATGCTGCTCCTGAGAAACAACAAAACATCTTACATTTGGAAAGTAATACTTAAACACAGTATGAAATTTCTGCCACTAGAGGGTCGTATTCACAACAAACAAATGCTTATTTTGATGATGCCGTGACTGAGTGTGGAATCATAGGAGTTGTCATCTTCATTACATGCTATGGGGACTCCTGCAAAAATCATGTTCAATGATGAGCTAAAGTGATCAAAGCTTGGGGATCTGTTATAATACTGCTTTGTGATCTTTAATGAAACACACCACATTTTAAAAAAAATCTTTGGTGTTTCACTGTTTTCTATAAAACCAAACCAGAAATTGAGGTTGTATGATGTCATAATCATGGTGACACAGGACACGGTCCATGCCAATTGCTAAAATTGCTCTGGATTTGAAACATTAACTGGTTGAATTATTCATTATTGGATGAAGGGTTGTGGTGTTATTGATGGTAAAAGTAAGGTTTAGTAGTTAGGGAAAGGTAAGACATATAATTGTTAGCGGATTTATTTACAGAGCAAGTTCATGTTTACACTACAGTGTTTCCCCTACCAGGCGACGCAGTGGCACAGTGGGTAGCACGTTCATCTCACAGCAACATGCGTGGGTTTCCTGCGGGTACTACGGTTTCCCCCACAGTCCAAAGACATCCGGTACGGGTGAATTGGGAATTGTCGTAGTGTATGAGTGTGTGTGTGTGTGTGTGTTAATGTGTGGATGTTTCCCAGAGATGGGTTGCGGCTGGAAGGGCATCCGCTGCGTAAAAACTTGCTGGATAAGTTTGCGGTTCATTCCGCTGTGGCGACCCTAGATAAATAAAGAGACTAAGCTGACAAGAAAATGAATGAATGAATGAATGTTTCCCCTACCATTATATATGGGGGGCACCCCGCCCTCCTTATATACGGCTGTACCCACCCTCCTTGAAGTCACATTTATAGATTTTATCTATATAGTGCCGGATCACAACTTTTTTTAGTAAACGAGCTGAATGGCCGTATGAAATATCTTATTTACACAACAGCATGTCATTTCTGTTCTGCGCTTGCGTCACTGCAGCTAAAATATATACAGATGCACACATCCCAAGTCTCTCGAAAGTTCCAAGAGTCACCCGCAAATGCATAGAGATGCCGGATGCCCACAAACGAATGATAATCTTCCGGAAATCGCGCATCTTCCACCCGTCTCCCGCCCGGTCCTCAAATACGTCCCGCTTCCCTCCTCGCTCTTCAGATACATCGCGCGGAGCAAAGCTTCTCTATCTAGTGTCTAGTTATGACCTCTTCCGGAAGCTCTGTGTGATCCCCCAAAATGATTAAAATACCCGTAAAACATGGCGTCGAGAGTGAATGAGCAAGTGAATAGATCGCGAGAGGCACAGTGATGGTCTAAACATTACATTTGATAGCTTAAATGAATAGAGCAGTAAAGATATCGCAAGTGCAAATCCCCCTCTCTCTCTCATTGAGAGATCTGCTGTCAGTAGTTGGAGAAAAGCAAAATATTGGAATGGTGCTACATGTATTTAGCTCTTTTTTTACGTATAACAATTGAAAGTTCTGTGCCTTGTCACAAAAGTTCAATTTGTCTGTGACTATTTGTCAATTGCATATGAATACAGTCTTAGAATCGAGAAACAGTTTGTGCTTTTAAGCCTTTAAATGCTGCCTTCTCAGTGATGTTGTAAACACCATATTGCTTTCTGGTTCCTTCTATCTGATTGGATGTAGTGAGCATGTCCTTTTTTTGTAACCTGGTAAAAACCAGTACAGCGAAATGAATTTATGAGGCTAAAAGAATGTCCTGGAAGCAAACATTTACAAGGGTACAATGCGAAGATATGCTCATACATTTTTTAACATTTTAAAAATATTAAATTCTAGATTCAAACACATTTTTGACACAATATTAAAAACATGTGGCTAAGAAATAGCTATTAACTTAACTTTTTTTTTTTGGTGGGGCAAGTGAAAATATTGGCCGGGCAAGTAAAAATCTGAACCGCTGGCCCAATCGGGCCAGTAGAAAAAATCCTTAGCGTTGAACCCTGACAGAGAATACAACCGGCCTCTGCAGGAGCTGAGAGAAGAACACGTGAGTTCTACTGATGCCCCTATTGGTTTTCGCTCAAGAAAGTTGTTCTTTATTTGCAAGTTGAAGGATTCTCAAATTTGTCGTGTCGGTCAGCAGCGGTCGCTATTGCTCGCGTAAACAGAGGTCGCCGGAAGTCGCTCGCTCTTCGTTGAAATGAACGGTCGCTTTGCCGCTGCGAGTCGCTCATAGTGTGAATGCAGCTTTAGAGTTCCAGGAGTTAAAGTAGGATTTAGTAGCAAGACTAAAGTTAGGTTTATAAAGGGAGGTTTACGAGTAAGTGTTGAGATTGTTTTACAGTAGGGTTTGAATATTGGGGTTAAGTGTAGGCTTAGTAGTAACGGTAGGGTTAAAGTTATGTTATTAATATTAGGTTTTAGGCTAGTTTTAGAACAATATGTGGGATGGTTTGTTTTAGGCTATCATGGTGAAGTTGGGTTTAGTATTAAACTATGACTAATGAGAGTAAAATGTAGCTTTAGTGTTTGGGTTAGGGTTGATTTTAGTAGTGAAGGTTTGATATGCAGCACAGTTACTCACTTGCTGATGAATTTGTTTTCTCCAACCCGCACACCGTCAATCCTGTCATCCATTTTATCCCAGCCACGACTGCATGGAAAAGCTCTGGAGAGACAGAGACAAAGGAACAGAGTGAAATTGTTTCTGTTTCTTCTTTTAACATCAAAGAATTAACTCGAACATTATCTAGGTCAGAGGAAAAAAAGAGACGGTAAGAGAATTACATACTCTAAAAACAAACAATGTATTCATATCTCACAATCCTCACTAGCTCAGTTTTTTTTATATATATATAATACTTTCTTGACAAGAAACTGAAGCTCTGTTCTGTATCACACAAAGCCATGTGCAGCGACATCTGCAAGTCACAGCTGAAAGTGAACAAGTCATGAGGATGTGACCAGAATAGATATTGAGCATATTCTGGAATGAATGAGGGGATTCAATGTGTTTAAAAGACCCCATTAATTCCAAGCTGAAGTTTTGCATTTTGTGTTCATAGCTTTCAAATGTTTGGGGTCAGTATGTTTTTCTTATTCCAATCAGTTTTATTGCAAGACAATTCAATAAAAAAGAAATTCAATAATTAAATTGATAAAAAAATGACACATATACAGTGCATACTAACTTTGTATCTTTTAATTATTTATTTATTTAGTGATCATACTAAAATCCAGGTAAAGAATAGTTTAAATCTAATTAAACCGAACTTGGACAACAACCACAAAAAAAAAAAAAAAAAAGGAATTAGTGATTGTGATAGTGATTAGTGACTAAAACTCTAGGCAGATATTGTAAGCCAGTAGGAATAAACATATTAAGACCTCATCTGAGTAGACAAATTTGAATAACCAACCTATACATGCAACACAAATGCTTGGCACAATGAATGTAACTTATCACACCTCTCCGATACATGTATCACTTATACTAAAGTAAAGAACTTTTATTGTCATTGTAGTTGTACAACGAAATTTGTTTGGTAACTCACAGAGACCAGCAGCAACATAAAAAGAGAGAAAAACAAACAATAGACATAATACTAAAATATAAGAGGCAAGATAAAGTATACTAAATGTAATAAGTCACACATAAAGAAAACCAACAATAGACATAATACTAAAAATATAAGATGTAAGATAAAATATACTAAATGTAATAGTCACAGTATTTACATTATGGCAAATGAGTGCAAACATGATTTTGAGTGCATACTAATTGAGAAAATGAGTGCATACTAATTTCATCTGCATACAAATACATCTGATTACACTAAACTTTTGAACAGCACTCCATGCAAATTGTCATTTATGTGCCCAATTTGTTCCAATCATATAATCCCAAAAATGTAAACATTAACTTCTCAAAAGAGTCTCTAAAGTTGATCAAACTAGACATTGGAAATTTAGCACACTGTTAAAGGTTGGTTTGTCATAAGGCTGATCAATACATTTACATTTTTAATAATGCCACTGACTGAAATATAATCAGCGCTGTAGGATAATACAGTATTGTCCCTTGTGGGTCATTATAGATGAAACTAGAGAAACCCGAGATTAAAATGAAATGCAAGATGTTATAAAAACAGCCAAGAAAGCAATAATCCTGAGGATAATATTGTTTTAATAATTTTACTGTACTTTGGAAGAAGCTTTTAATATCATGTCATGCATCTATATCCACCAGTTTCCTATCAACACTGTCATGTTTAACCCAAGAAAATGGAGTGTTTGGAAAATGCTGAAGACCGTTTTAGTTTAGAAATGCTGAAGTTCTTGTTAGTACATAAGAAATGAGTCACAGACTTATGAAAACAGAAACAATATGCACATTCACTCGCTGATTTGACCAGTTTTGCAACCAGTATACAGCAAGTATGCTGGCAAAGTATTCGAATACCCATGTGAGCATGAATTATCACATATATGTTTTACTCTGTATAGTGTGATTGTATCTCTGAAACACAGTTAAAATGCTAATTTGGACAAGGATTGTTTACATTCTGAGCTGCTGTTTTGAATAAAAAAAAAAAACATACTAGTGATCACCTAAATGTAGGGTTTAACTTAGAGTTACAGGAGTTAAAGTTGGGCTTAGTAACAAGTCTAAAGTTAGGTTTAGAAAGGTTAAAGGTACAATTTTAAAACAAATCCATTATTTTAAGTTTTTTTTAAACATAAAATAACGGCCGTTAAATTACAGAAATTTACTGTAAAATTCATTCATTTTCTTTTCGGCTTATTCCCTTTATTAATCCATGGTCGCCACAGAGGAATGAACCACCAACTTATCCAGCAGGTTTTTTACGCAGTGGATGACTTTCCAGCCGCAACCCATCTCAGGGAAAATGAAAATAACGGCCATTAAATGACAGAATATTACTGTAAAATAACGGAAGTTAAATGACAGAAATTTACTGTAAAATAATGGACGTTAAATGATAGAAATTTACTGTAAAATAACAGCTGTTGAATAATAGAAATTTACTGTAAAATAACAGCTGTTGAATGATAGAAATTTACTGTAAAATAACAGCTGTTGAATGATAGAAATTTACTGTAAAATAACAGCTGTTGAATGATAGAAATTTACTATAAAATAACGGACGTTAAATGACAGGAATTTCCTAAATTATTATTTCTGTAATTTAACGTCTGTTATTTTACGATAAATTTCTGTCATTTAACGTGCGAAATTTTACACTTTCGCACCCCAGTATCCGGAAAAAAAACTTAAAAATAAGGGATTTTTTGTGTTGGTTTACCAGAAAAATGTTAGTTTACAGTAAGGTTTGGTTATTAGGATTAACTGTAAGGTTAGTAGCAAAGGTAGGTTTAAAGTTTTCTACAAAATTCACAAAAAAGCCGATGCTGTTGCTGATTCAGTGAGAAATGCACTGTAGAACAAAGATTACTGGTGTATGTTTTACAATAAGACACTACTTAACTGTTTCCTCTTGAAAATTCCAGGTTTAATTTGATGTATTACTTTCAACAATTGTGACATCTTCTATCAAATAAATCTTTTTTTTATTTATTAAAGACCTCAATAATAGATTATACACAGTTGAAGTCAAAATCATTAGCCCTCGTGATTTATTTATTTATTTTTCCCAAATGATGTTTAACAGAGCAATGAACATTTCACAGTATTTCCTATAATATTTTTTTTTTTCTGGAGAAAATCTTATTTGCTTTATTTCAGCTAGAATAAAAGCAGCTTAAAACCATTTTAAGTTTAATATTAAAAGCCTACATATGCAATATAAATTTTTGTAATGTCTATAGAACAAACCATCGTTATACAATTATTCGCCTAATTACTCAAACATGCCTAATTAACCTAGTTATGCCTTTAAATGTCACTTTAAGCTGAATAGTGTCTTGAAAAATATCTAGTAAAATGTTATGTACTGTCATCATGAGAAAATGAAAAAAAATCAGTTATTAAAAATCTATTATGTTTAGAAATGTGTTGAAAAATCTTCTTTCTGTTTAACAGAAATATACAGGGGGGGCTAATAATTCAAGAGAGCTGATCATTCTGATTTCAACTGCATATTGTATTAACACAGTATTATTCAATCTAAATCTGTCTTGATGGAGTGAATTATTCAGATGAAAGCCTTTATGTTTGTAAACTTTCTGCTTAAAGATGAAAGAGAATAGTCAACTACGTCTTTTCCCAGCTCAATGGCTGACAAATATACTCATGTCTGGAGGTTCCCCTGGCACAATACACTCAAGGCTTCCTTCCTCACCAGCTGGAAAGGCTTTATAGAAGCTTCCGGAGAGGAGGACAGGTGCAGGACAACAGGAGTACTGTTACCCCGCTGTTACACACCACTCAACAACTACAGCAACAATTCGCTCTTAAAGCTCTTTCACTAGATCATTTTAAAAACCAGCAAGTCATGCCAATAAAACAAAAACAAATAATTGGTGTCAAAACTTAACTTTAGTATAAGATGTTTTTGTTTTTCACAGAACTGTGCTGGTAATATATTTATTATTATGATTATTATTATTACTTTAAATATTGATTTATTTACTTTTTGCCTTTATTATGATTGGAGAGTATATAAATAGCTAAGCAGAGAAAGAGAGAAGGGGGAATCAGGAAAGATCTACAAGCTGGGACTCGAACTCAGGATGCCCAAAGTGCAATGGTGCTATATGTCCGCACATTGTCAATTACGCAGTCGATGCTGACATTTGTTTGTTACTTTTAATGCATGATTCACTCTCCTGCAGAATTATCCCATTCATTTTTAATTCATGAATTCTTGTCAAAATATTCTTGTTGAAATCAAAACCCATTACCGAAAACTTTAAATTAAAAAACTTAAAAAAATGAATCAAATACTAATTCATGGAATCCACAACTGCTAAAACTTCTTCGATATCTCTATTTCAAGTTCAAAAACCTCCCAGGTATCACAAAATTCAGAGGATTTTCAAGAGCCAAACATGCTATTAAGTTTCTCAAACATAGTCCAGTGGAGGGGCGATTAACCTTTTTCTAACACATAGCAATGTAACGTCTTGCTTGTATTTAACCTAAACCAATCCGTTTTCTTTCTTTAGTAGACAAAGAACAACTGTCCACCTGAGAAATACGAATGCATTTGTAACTCTCCAATTCACCAGCATCATGTCAACAGTAGAACTAATTCAAATTACACCGTGATGACACCATGTTTGTGATAATATGTAAGACTATTAGACTATAAGCAAATGGCCATGAGTGAAAGTCTAATTCCCTTTCGTTCCATAACATGGGCATTACAGTATATTTATAAGCATTCTCTACTATATTACAGTATAACATTTTCATTTCATGAGTCACAGAACATAAAAGAGGCTGTCAGAAGCATCTATAAACATCAGATCCTTTTGATTATCCAGACAAAAACCTCCCCAACTCCTTTACATAAACATCAGTCAAAACAGGCTTTTTTGCATAGGTCTCATTTTTTAAGCTGTTTAGTTCACAAGCTGACTAAAACAGCATGATTCTTTCATATCAACCTCTTTAAAAAAAAGACAGCACTCTTGCATTTATTCTTCCGCATAAACTAGCACATATTCAACCTGAATATATCAGCAGACTGATAAGAGTAGTACTTCTCATTTAGAGTCTCTTTAGGATTTGTTCAAGCAAAAACTAAACCGACTGAAAATTACCTTGTTTCTGTTGTGTGGCTGGTCGTCTGGTGGTCTTTAAACGCTAAGCGAGTGCTAAAGCCATGTGACACGCAGCTTCGCTTTCCTCAACTCTTCCTCTCTGATTTGCACAACGGAAACTGACAAGAGGCTTCAGACTTCTCCAATGGTGGTTTCGCAGTCTGCCTCCTCCTCCTCCCTTCATCTCCCAGTGTTTCTCTCTCTCTCTAACGTTCACACACGCTGCCATTGATCTAATTCCAGCAAAAGATGCATGAGTTCCATTAACTTTACGAGCACTTTGGAGAACTATTTAGTACATAGTAGTTGAGTGTGCGATTAAAATGTTCAACACACACACACACACAAATGCACACAAACAAAGTGCAGGTGTCCTAGTGTGACACCAAATGGAATCGGGAAATTGAAATTCAATCCCCGAGAAAGCTCCTACATGATTATCCTTATCACATTCTTCCACCAGTAAACAATTGGGTCTCTCCTTTGTGCTGGCATGTTTTTCTTATCTACACTGCAATCTTTTGAGCCAGAGTGTTCGGATAAGTATTGTGTGTGTGTTTGTGTAATATAGTATAGCATTGTTAGAAATGTTGTACCTATTGGGGACATTTGACTTTGGTTCCCATCAGGAAAATGGCTCATAAATCATACAGAGGAAGTATTTTTAAAGTGTTTTGGTAGCATTGGGTTAATGGGACAAAACATACACTATGCTAAAGTCTTGTTGTCGATCCCAGTTGTAAGAGTGACTAATAATAACTTGACTTCTAGTTGGTCATTTGGAAAAGAAGACCTATTAGAACCCGCATGGATCCAAGATTCTTACAGAAATCAGTTAAGTTTGGTGAAGGAAAAATCATGGTTTGGGGTTAGATTCAGTATGGGGGTATGTGAGAGATTTGCAGAGTGGATGGCAACATCAACAACCTGAGGTGTCAAGACATTTGTGCTGCCCATTACATTACAAACCACATAGAGGGCAAACTCTTCAGCGGGATAGCCCTCCTTCTCATACTTCAGCCTCTACATCAAAGTTCCTGAAAGCAAAGAAGGTCAAGGTGCTCCAGGATTGGCCAGCCCAGTCACCAGAGAGCATTGAGCATGTCTAGGGTAAGATGAAGGAGGAGGCATTGAAGATAAATCCAAAGAATCTTGATGAACTCTGGGAGTTCTGCAAGAACGCTAATCCAAATGATACCAAATGATAACAAAAGTCAAGTTATTACTTACTATTCCTAAAACTTGGATAAGCGACAAGACTTCTGTCAGGTAAGTCTGTACAGTATAAAAGCACTATGTCTATGAGAAGTCATTGTTAAACATGAAAGCCCAACATGTGTGTGTATGAGTGTGTCTGTGTGTGTGTGTGTGTGTGTGTGTGTGTGGCCCCTCCCACATCTTTCATACACATCAGGAGATGATGAAATATTCAATACCAATCGACCAGAGCAGCTTATTTGGACATTAATATTTCATATCCCAAATATGGCCCAGTCAGAACTACAGATGAACACTATTAGAGCTATTAGGGTCTGATACACATGAAGAAAATAAGGTGTTAAAGTAGATGACAGGGTTTGTATTTATGGATGCATGATATATCAGTGCCATATCCATTATGCAAGTTTTTTTTAGCATTTAATTTAGATAAAGTAGTAGAGCTGAAATGATTAGATCTAGATTAAATCTCATTTCTTACGCTGTAATTTTGCCCTCCTGTTTTTTGTTTTTTGATATAAAAGCAGTGAGCAGTGATGTTTAGATGAAATAAGTTCGTTTTTTATCTAAAAAACTAATTTTTAAGATTTGTTTCAAATCAAGTTATGAGTAAATTACAAACAAAGTCAATGTAAATGCACAAATAGAGGCAAATTATCACTAGGCAGCACAAATTATGCGTAATGCGCTGAGTTTGGTGACGAATGCACAGAATTTACCTGAATAGTGTCCTCGACACAAGTTCAAAAACATTTTCACCTAAGTACAAAAACATCCTGTGAGTAATCTAGAGCTAGTGGCACAGTGCTCTGCGTTAGGGATGCAACAATTGTAGATTTTGGTAGTAAGATTATAGTCTGAAGAATAACCATGGGTTCAGGGTTATCACGATTATTATGCATTCATTTATTTCAAAACACCACTAGTTTAGAAAATCACATAATAACTCCTTATATTTTAAAGTGTTATTTATTGCTGCTCAGTTACTAAATACAGCACAAAACAATAATAAAAACAAACAATAGCCCATTTCTCTTTGGACTTAAAAATAAGTGAAAGGTTTTTGGTATTTTAACATATAGCAAAAATGTTACACTAAAAATAAATTACTGAAACAAAGAATACATAAATAAATACAAATAAGAATTAATAAAAAAAAAAAAAAAAAAATATATATATATATATATATATATATATATATATATATATATATATATATATATATATATATATATATATATATATATTTGTTTATGACTTTGTTTAGCTGCAGCAGTTCTGAGAAGCCTTTACATTAATTATCTGTGACAGATAAAGCGCAGTTAATAGTGAAATCGGTTAATCGTTGCATCTCTACTCTGCGTTTGATGTGAACCAAGCGTAATTAAACAATAAACATGGTAGTGCTGAGAAAACAGAAGCTGAGAAAACATCTTACAAGAAAAAAGAAATATAAAGGAAAATAGCACTGTTTTAAGATATATTCAAGGTACTTTTTACTCATACTTCGAGTAGTAGTTACAACAGATACTCTACTCTACATTTTTAGCAAGTTATGGTACTGTTCCTTGAGCATAATTTTATTTTCCTCCACAGAAACTAATGTTTTATTTCAATTTGAAATACATGCTGCTTTTTTAAAACTTTTTATTTATCAAAGTTTTTTTTTTAATAAATAGGATAGTCTTACTGTTATAAAACATTTTAATATCAAATAAATGATTTTATTTTAAACATTTTATTGATTAAAGGACATATAATGATTTTCACAAAGATATTAAGCAGCAAACATTGATTTTCAACATTGATAATAATATTATTAATAATAATAATAAATAAATAATAAAATAAATAATAATTTAATATAAAAACATTATATTCGAATATGAAGTGCAATGCGACACTGAAGCAACGATACGGAAAATTCAGCTCCATTATCACAGATATAAATAACATTTTAAAAAGATTATTTTAAATGTTAATAATATTCAACAAAAGACAACACAGAAGATTACAAAAACATTATAAACCCATACTAACATTTAAGATGTAAACATCTAAACAAAGCCTGGCTAAGACGTCAGCTGAAGAAAAACGAGAAGTGAAAGGAAAGCCATATTTCACAATCATATCTGAACTTCCTCCTCTACGCTGTTAACTACTTATAATCCCTCCTTTCTTCAAGCTCTTCAGATAAATGTTGGTTAGAAAAACATTCCCCTATTACTTCAAAACAAATGCAAATTCAGATAAAGAAAAAGCTCCAGTCCTCCATTCAGCGTGACCCGCTTCAGTCTCTGCGGTGCGATGAGCCGCTTTTTCACGCTTTTCACTTGGACGGTCATCAAACTACTTGAGCAGCACCGTGTTTCAAGAGCCATGCACTTTTCCACACTTACGCAACTGTGCACTCAAGCGTTAAATGTGTCAGGGGAGTCTATGAAAAATGAATGAAAAAGCTTGAGATCTATTTTTACGCAGACTATCCAATGTCTCGGATCTTCAAATGTCAACCCTGCATCTATGAAAGTACCTAATTACGAATAATTACATGTTGTTGTTTTTTTAATGCAAACAGTCTGCTGGTCTGGCATGCATGTTGTGTGGGCAAATGCGTTTCACTGCTTGGAAGATTGTGGAAGTGGGACAGACAGAATGGAAGCAGTGGTTTATGCCACTTTAGCTTCCAAAATCTCTTTGTGTCTCTGTGTTTGTGTGTGTGTTAATGTTACTATTTATGCACTATAATTTTTTTTTTTTATGTTTGTTCATGTCATTGTAACTGTTGATTTTAATTCGACCGCAACCACCATCCCATCCTTCTTCTTCCCTCCCACTGGCTTCCCAAAGTTTCCCCCTTGTTGTCCAGTTCCAAAGCAACCGCTCACTAACCTCTGCCTTCAAGATCCAGGCCAAGATCTCTGCTTGATGTTTCCTGGCCTACAACCATCACACACATACACACTCACGCACACAAGCATTCACACTCAAATGCACACATAAACACGTGCTGGCTTTTCTTCATGTTTTATGGGGACTTCTCACAGGCATACAGATTTTTTTTTAAATAATGTTCAGAGAAGGGCTGCACAATATATCATTTCAGCATCGATAGCGCAATGTGATCATTCGCTATATGTTAAGTTTGTATCATAATTTATCATTTGCATCTGTTTTTGATTGTATAATGTTTTTTAAAAACATTCAGGTATAAGAAATTGTACCATTTGTGTGCTTAACTATGTTTAATTATATTCAATTATTTTAATTTTTATCATTCAGTTACTGTACTTGAATACTGTTAGACTCGGGAAACGACATAACAGTTTAGTTTGATTGTTTCTTTTTCTTGATTGTATTTATCGATTGTTATGGGTGGAAATAATGCTCACAAAACATGCAAACACAGAGATGCACTGCAAATAGCACAGACCACAACACAAACCTGGCAGGGGACTCCCAAAAATATATATATTGCTTATTAGACTTTATGGAGATGCAAATAGTAAACATTAACTCAATAATCTCAATAAACTTGTGCATGAAAATACTCAAAACACATGCAAATGTAGAAACAACATAAAGATAGCACAGACAACAGCCGAAATGTGTCGGAGGATGCCAAAAAATGCTATAGATAGTTAATTAGATTTGATGGACATGCACTCCCACTGCAGAATCAGCCCAATTGATCTAGCATTCAGGGGCAGATTTAACCCAAAAGCAGAAAAGCGGCCACTTAGGGCCCAAGGACATCTGGGGGCCCCTAATAAATATCTAGAAGTGTAAATTATACCTATACACTATATATAAAATCGTTTTCTACAATATTTTGTATAGTGAGAGTCAAATAAATACAATTTTTACATAATTAGATATTATTTTATTATATAATAAAACATATTATTATTATAATGTAATGTTAAGTAATTATGTGACAAAATAAAATATTTACCACGCCAATCATGGAGTAGTCAGTCAAATTTATCAAATAGTAAATTAAAATTCTTACAAATAGTAAATAGTAAAATTCATTTTAAGA